TGTAATAATGAATGAAATTGATTAACACAATGATTAACCAAATTCTTTAATTTTTTTTATTTATTTTTTTACTAAAGAAAGATATCATTACAATTGTATGAAAAAATATACTTATGAAGTTGTAACAATTGTTTTATATATGGACCAAGTTATATAGATGTGACAAAACTTTTATAAAACAACCAAAAGTTTGTAAATGGTAGTACTATCGTACATGTTAATGTTCACTTCATAAATTTTTTATTACAAGTAACAAGACTACATTTGTAATTTTAATTTTGCCCCATATCTAAAAGAACTACCTCCAAATAAGGAGCAATGGTGAGAAGAACCATCCTATACTGGATTAGTTAATTGAATCGTACCTAAAAGATATGAAATATACTTAACCTATTCTAAGTAGAAATGATAATAATAATTGTTCACTTATCATGATTGCCAATAGACTAAAATATGAAGCAATTAAGATATGACTCAAGATGATTCTATGCCAAATAGTACATCGCTTCATCCAAAATCGCTTGAAGCGTATTCTACTTCTGCACTTGTTTTTTATTCTTAAACTACATTATCTTTGAAAAATACGACATAACTCAATACCACAAAGCATGTTACATGATTTTAATTAAACCTAAGCAAGGCACAAAGTGATATATAACACAAAACGGCATGTGACTCGAGCCAAGCCATTGCCACTCTTTTGATCAATACAGGGCAAAATTGACTAACCCTAGACACGAGGACTCACAGCATATTATCATCTCTAGTTAAACAACCAACAAGCTTACTGATCTTTACCTCTAATATTATACTACGTAGTACGTAGATAGTTAAGGAAAATGATATACACACATAATGTTACAACCCCATATGTTTTCTTTTGAACAAACTCTTTACAAAAGTACGGAGTAATATACTTTGTAATACGACAATTTTGATCTAGTGAAAATGAAGGCAATACACAAATGTCTTGTTCTTTTAAGTCTCTAGGCAAGCAGAACATGTGTCAACAGAAGAGCAGAACAAAGAGGGTTAGAAGAGCAAATAAGATTTCAACAAAGTAGACTAGAGTAGATGTCAACATAACAGAGAGCAGAGCAGCTCAAAAGAAAACGACCAAAGTAATGCCCAATGTAATTGGACTAGGGCCTGTTCTCATAGACTGAACTCAGCTGAACTGAACTGAACTGAACTAAGCTGAGTTGAGCTAAACTGAACTGAAATGAATATTTTATAAGAAAAGGAAATTGGGAGCTGAATTGAACCGAACTGAAAATAAGCGTATGAAACAGACCCTAATGGTGAAGGTGGGTAATAGTGTATGATTATGAAGGTTTAGGACTAAAGGACAAAGAAGAGGAGACAAAAGGGATATTCAGAGAAGGATGATATCTGGATTAAGCAGAGAATATCTCAACGCGTGTCACGAGGAGAATCTTTCTTTCTTTCTCTTTCTTTTTTATCATTCATTCATTCACAACTAACCATGTAGTAGTAGTAGTACCATGCATAGTATAGTACAGATTATAGAAGAAAGAGGAGAGAGAAAGAATCTAGAGAATGAAAAAGGAAGATGTTGGAGGCTTGTACTAGAAGTCTGATTTTTCTGAAAGCGACCAACCTTCTCTTTCATTATTGCCACTCTTTCTCTTTCTCTTTCTCTTTCTCTCTTCTTCTGCTGTTAAAAGATATTCGATTCTTTCTTTCATTTTTCTTTCTTTCTTTTTTCACCTCTATATGTAATCTATTCTTACCTTTTTCACTACCCCAAACCCATGCACCACCCTTCCCTCCTTTTACTAACTTTCATGACTAACCCCACTTCAATTCTCCCTCCCCCCCTTAATTACTTACAACTTAATTCCATTTTGATAGAGTATATAAATCGACTTTGGGCTCTAACCATCAACTTAAATTTTCGATGAGTTGTTTATTTAACATGGTATCAAGAGTCAGCGTGACACAAAGGTCAGCATTGTATTTAAGGTGTTTTTTTGACATGCCACTTACATGACATGGACTCTTTAAGCAATGCACTCACTCCATACATGCAGCACAATAACACCATTATCTATGTGTGTATATATGACTCTAGAACTCTCAACCTCTTTGATAAATACTGAGAAGGGTATGTACATTCATAAATTTGCATACTAATGTTGTTCTAAGAAAATCCTATGCACATTACAAGTTAGTATAAAAATGAGTTAGTTGAGATTTTATTTGAATTGATGGATTACTTTCTTAATATAAGCATATTTCTTTCAACCTTTGTGAAAAAAAACAAAGGGAGCAATATAATGGATTAAAAAGCTAAAAAAAGATAGAAAAGGAAGAAGGTAAAGAAACATAATAGATGATTATTTCAGGTGGCTTGTACATGAATTTTCCTAAGCATAAAACAAATTTCCAGAAAGAAGCAGAAAGGGTGCATAGTTGAATGTGTAAGTGGGCTAGCTTCAAATCTTCTTGAGATTCAACACATAACATGACCATTCTTTCATAAAATGTATGGTCCCTAAAGAAGAAAGATTAAAAAAAAAAATACAATACCTAGATCCAGAATGTTCATCAATTATACTATACTCAATTTTTTTCCTTCAATAAAAAAAATGCTCATTAATCTTTAAATTCTGTTGTCAATTAACTACTAATAACAATTACACAATAATATCATAGCACCGCCACATCAAGGTTAACATCGAGAGTTAGAGGCCTTAAGTTAGTCCAAACCTAGGTGGCTAGGTGTTACAGTCTTTACCGACGATTTATCAGTCTGTTAGGCCATGTTTTGTTTACCTTATAATAACTACTTATAATAAGTTTAGATAAGAATAAATGACTTTATTTAGACAAGTTTAGATAAGTAAAAAATCAAGTGCGTTATTATTAACAACAATTAGCCATATGTTTAGAGAGAATCAACTTACCTTCCCACCCACTTCACTAAAGTTTTAAGTAGCAGAAGAAGATTCCCAAAACCCTCTTTTTTTTCAATCTTTTGGGCTGTTTTTCCCTCCAATCTCTCTTTTTATTTAAGCTTTGTGTCCTTGATTTACAGTCGCAGAATTTTGGAACTAAGATATTCCTTCCTTACATCAAATGAAATATTTTATTCCTCTTTATAAAAACAAATTAAAATAAAAATGAACGTCTCAAGTAGATTTTATATTCTCACTCTTTCTCAAATGTTGAATAATTATTTACTTTTTGAAACCAAAAAAGAAAGTTGAATGGTTGATAGATACTCGACATTAAGTATTATTTTACTTTTTTTTACATGATATTAGTTAATCATGAAAATAATTAAAACAGATGAAAATAGTATATGCTCTTTAAAAGCACATTTATATTCAATTTTTAAAAAAAATTTCCTCTCCAAAAAATAAAAATAATAAAGATAGAATCATATAATTCATATCCATAATTCCATATAATAAGAGAGAATAATTTGTTCTAGTAGTACTTAGCCGTATGGATGTCTGACATCTGCCCTTAATAATTCTATTTTTATTTCCTTAAAAATTAATTTAATTTTTTTAGTTTGCTGTGATTTTTTAAGCAAATTACTTTTGGTTGGGAATTTAACATATGATCTGTAAATCATGACCATCGAATCCATCTCATCTTTAACTTTGCTTTTAAGTGGGCCCTTAAACCTCTAAGTAATACGATCTTTACCTAAATGAATATATTTAAATAAAAGTTTAGAAAAATTTTTATTCTGGATGGTTTTGATTCTCTTAAAAAATAATATATTTTTGTTATAAAAAGCTTCAAAATTTACTTAGATACCTATTTGATCCATGTTCTTGTAAAATAGGTACAGTAAAACAAAATATAAATGTGTGGATTCTACAAAATTTTGTTTATTCAAAGTTCCAACTGTTTAAAATAATCTACATTTTCACAAACAGGCATTGCACCATTTTAAATGTCCTAAATTGTAAATAAAATACAATGACCGATACCATGTACAAAACGAAAAATTATTAAGAAATGTTAAGAGCTTATAATGTCCTAACACAGCAAAAAATGTGGCACGCATATAACGTATATGTGCAAGTGAAAGTACATATGTAATTTCTTAGTATTTTCAATTGCGCTTTATAAGCGTTATTATGTAATATTGATATTACAACACCTCTAAAAATAAAATATACGTAACCCTACATTGTCAGCATAAAATACCAAATAAAATCGTAATCCTAGCTAAAACATAAAGCATCAATAATTATAATAACGCGGTCATATTCTCTAATTTCATAACAGGTTAATTTGTATCTAAAAATATGCTTGTATAAAATCAAAAGACAAGAACCATTTTCACATCTTGTCTTAAAAATATAAATAGATAATCACAAAAAAAAAAAAAAAAAAAAAAAAAAAAAAAAAAAAAAGGAAGGGAGAATATATAAAGAGAGTTCATAGCGTGGTCCAGAGCATCTGGCAAAAATAAACCATGAATATACAAATGGAGCAGATTCAAGCTTATCTAGCATTTTTCTCATTCCCAAAGAAATATACTGTACAATAAAAGAGATATTTTTCTCATGAAAAAGGGTTTTTTGAATTTAATTCTTTGATTTTAAAATAGGAGCGTAGAGATAAAAGCTGAGCAAAGAAATATACATTTTGCAAAAATCAGTATATTCAGCTCATATTAACAATATAAAAACTATGTCAAATAACCAATAAATAAAAGGTAAAAATGATGGTAACAAAAAGGAAAAGATAAATTGAAAAAAAATGAGAGCAAAAGGCAACAGGGCAGAGGAAGGAGAATCATCTTTTGAATTAGTGAATTTTGAAATTCGGACAGCTAAAGAGGAGGTGAGGAACGTCCAAAGGTTCTAAAAATCCCTACAAAGGCTTCAGCAACCACATGACCCCCCTTTGATTCTCTTTAACTCCATACACACTTGTACGTAAGTTGTATAGAAACACAAACATACGCGCAAAATAGTTACTATCTCCAAAATTAATAGTTTTGTAGAAATTTAAACTCATCATAACGTGACAACTATATTTGAACATGGATAGTACAGAATCAGAATTTAGACTTTAGCGCGTGTATCACAAATTCGAGCTTTTTGCCTTTGATCTCTTTGCAAGAAGTTACCATGCTCCTCCTCCACTTTAAAATTTTATCTCTCTTCAACTTTTCCTTTTCCTCTTTCTCTCACTCTCACCCCAAAATTCCACTTTATTCTCCCTCGAACACAACTCTAAAAGCAGTTGATCCTCCTTGTGTTCATAAACAACATCCTATCCCTTTTTCCCTCTCTCATAACCTAAAAAGGAGAAGGCCACCTTGCTTCCCTCTTTTGCTATTCACCCTCAATTCTATAAGAACACCAACATTTGAGACCAATAAAGCTTATTGCACAAAAATATATACATATATATCACCAAGCAACAAATAAAACCATCTTATCATATAAACTAAACATTTTGTTATAATCATAAGTGAAATGATGGCATCTCCATCAGAACTAAGCCTTGACTGTAAACCTCAAAGCTACTCTATGCTACTCAAATCATTCGGCGGTGCTGGTGATCACAATAACCAAACAGACCAAGCCACCAACAAGCTAGAAGAATACCTTAATCGCCTCGAGGAAGAGCGCCATAAGATTGATGCTTTCAAGCGTGAGCTTCCCCTCTGCATGCAGCTTCTCACCAATGGTACTGTATTAGCCTCACATACTGTGCATATTCATATCCCTAGTTCTTCCTTTTTCTTTGTCTCCTTTTTCTCATTCTTTTGCATGTTTTTCAACACTGCATTTTATGTACCCACCAATGAATTATTCAATGAACATAATCAAATCAGTATGTTATTAAACCCAAGCAATATAATAGTTTAATCTCTCTGGATTTATTGTGAAATACTTTTGATCCTTTTTTTTCCTTCTTTTTTCCTCTAATTCACAAATAAAGATGAGGATTATAAGGCTTTTTTTGCATGCAACTTTTATTTTAGGCTTTTAGTTTTCACTCAAAATCTACAAACAAATTCCAAACAAAAATCACACTATAAAGTAGCATAAATAATCAGGCAAAGTAAAAATTGAACCAGACAGTTTTTTTTTTTAAAAAAAAAAAACTAAGATTTGCTTCTTTCTAGGGTTGAAAATTTTCTTCTAGTTTACTTTAGAAGTATCATAACTTATAACTTTATTTTACTCATCAGCCATGGAAGCATCAAGGCAGCAGTTACAATCTTTCAGAATAAATAATCAAGGTGCAAGGCCAGTTCTTGAAGAATTTATGCCACTCAAACATTCTAACTTAGAAGGGTCTGACCAAAAGACAGCAAACATTTCTGACAAGGCCAACTGGATGGTATCTGCACAGCTATGGAGCCCTGCAGGTGACGCGAACAAGCAACAGTCCTCGACATTGCCTAAATCTGAAGCTGATACTGGCTTCAGTGTAAGCAGTCCTAAACTAGGATTAGACACCAATCAGAGAAATGGGGGAGCTTTTCTTCCATTCGCAAAAGAAAGAAACTCAGTTCCTAACAATTCAAACATAAGACCACTCCCAGATTTGGCCCTAGCATCAAGTGACAGAGAGGTAGATGACAAGAGTGAAAATGGATTGAGTGGATCAAGGAGTGATAATTCTAGCAAAGGAGGAAATGCAATAGTTGGCATGGCCTCCACAGATAGTCAAGCACCTATCGCGACAACCACCACCACTACCACAACTCAGACAAACAGGAAAGCAAGGCGGTGTTGGTCACCGGACTTGCACCGACGATTTGTCAATGCCCTTCAGATGCTTGGTGGTTCACAAGGTAATTATTATTATTATTATCTTTCTAACATAATGATATAGTTATATTTTATGATAGTTTGATCATCATCACAAACAACCTAGAATAATGCAGGTTGTTTAGAAGTGGCTTTTAAATATGTCTAAAACTGATCATGTCACTATCATTAGCTTTTAAAAACAAGGATAATTAACTGATTATTGGTTGCTTATCTTTGTAAACAGTAGCTACCCCTAAACAAATAAGGGAGCTAATGAAGGTTGATGGACTAACCAATGATGAAGTGAAAAGTCACCTCCAGGTAACAATCTTTCTCTGAACAAGCAATCATGACATACACATTGATACTGTACTATATATAGTGCAGAACATATACTAATTGTCTCTACTCTTTTGGTCTTCAACTTTTCTTTATGTTTTTTACAGTTTATGGTAACTTTTTTGTATTTTTTACCAACATGCAGAAATATAGACTTCACACCAGAAGACCTAGCCCAAGTCCTCAAGCAGTAGGAGGCCAAGCACCACAGCTGGTTGTCTTAGGAGGAATATGGGTCCCACCCGAATACGCCACCGCGGCTGCTGCTGCACATGGTGGTGCACCCACCATTTACAGTGCTCACCCAAGTACTCAAGTCTCATCACACTATTGCTCACCTACAGTCCCACCAGACTATTATCCACAACCAGTAGCACCCCCACAAGCACTGCACCATCCAGCCCTACAACACCACCATCATCACCAGCTTCATGTGTACAAGACTACCTCTCACACACAGACTCATAGCTCCCCGGAATCAGATGCTCAACGAGCCGGTGACCGGTCAGAGAGCATCGAAGATGGGAAGTCAGATTGCAGCAGCTGGAAAGGCGAAAGCGGGGAGAATGGAGGAGAAGGGAGGAAGCTAGCAGCATTAAGAGATGATGGTGAGGAGAGTAATGGAAGCCAGATTACATTAAAATTCTAGTTAATTACTGTTTGTAGGGTTAGTATTAGGGTTTTTTTTAAATTTTTGTTCTGATTCTTGTGTGAATTATATTATGTGTAGAGAGGGAGGTTAAAGAAGGCATAAAGAGAAAGTGAGTGTTCATTTTATTAACTTACATAATGTTCTTAGATTTCCTATTCAGTAATCACTATCTAGTGATAAAATTCATGTATAGATTTACATGAAGCCAATAACTTTTGGTTGTATTGACAGTTTTGCTCTTGAATATATGTTTACTAATTACTACTGCAAAAAGGACAAGGTAAACTGAGCCAAAGTTCCTAAGAACAGTAAATACTCAATCCCAGAAATTAGGAGTATGAATATGAAAAAAAAAAGAGGTAATGGGAGGAATTTCATGCTTTTAAGGCTAGAAAGTATAAACTCATATGGTAAAAAAGTTGGGTTATGCAACATGTAGTAAAAACACTAAAAAAAAATACTATTGCTGAAACCAAAGATAAAGCCTAGCAAGAGTTGCAACGTTATGAAAAATTTCACCTTTTTAATTTATATCACATGCTTACTTCACTATTCTCCATGCTAAGGCACTAATTCACCAAAGAAAGTAAGATCCTCCACACAAACCTATCACAATCTTAGTACCGCGTCACAGCCTACCTAGGCTACTTGTGTTATCACAAACTATATGTAAGCCTTTCCACTAGTTATGGCTAACATACGAAGAGAATACATTAATGAGTTACGATCAAATTCCTACAACCAATCAATCACTATTAGAGGCCATAAATGACAATGCAAGTTGTTTGCGAAAAAACTTTTACATCTATGGATTTACTCATTTACCTTCCTCGATCCAACTCCATAGGGGGTTAAGTTGATATTATGGTGATCCAAATACTACACTACAATGAAGTTTGATCTAGCTGCCTAACTTCTCTTGGTATATAGGTACCATCAATCACTATGTAATCCCTTATATTTGTTAGGAACTAATGAGTAATGATTAGTAACTAAAGATTGAAAGCGATGAAAGAGCACCTATAAGGCTATAATGACACTTCATTAGTCAAAAATAAAAAAACCTTAAGAAACTTTTATTATTTTAGGGCACAAGGAAAGCTCCTGTTTTAGGAAATCATATCCTAAAATGGTCAAGACAATCATGATGTATTCTTGGCTCATTCTCCAAGAACTTAAGTCTCCATTCCACACACTTTGGACCCACGCCAACGCATAATCTGGCGACCAAGGGACCTCTAGCCTTGACCGAAGAACATATGATTGGATAATTATTGTGAACCCATAGTGGCAAACTTGTTCTATGGCAGTTACAAGCATTCAGCCCCCACAATTAACAAAGTGACTTCTTATCATCTAAGTCTTGAGAGGACATATAAGAATACAACTTAACCTTAATAATCAATGAAAAGTAAAAGAAAAAGTTATTTCGAAAAGTATGAATTGTAGATTTGTAGCTACAAGTCACCTTGAACTATTAGAAAATAACGCTAACTAAGGTTTGCACCAGGAAAATAACTAAGGTCGCGCCTAGCATCATAAAATTAGCTAGGCATATGCCATGGCATCAGTAGCCTAATATTGAGTCAGGCTGTCAAGTTTGGGGTGCTGTTTCACGTGTTTGGGTAGTGTCATGCTTTTAAGCCTAGGCATAGATTTTGTGTTATTTCCGGATCCCATGTTTGTATCATCCTAGCCTAAACTTAGTATTGAGTCGACTGTTGAAATATACATGGCTCGAGCCCTTATGGGGCCAAACCAAGACCAACTTAGGTCATGTAATGCTTTGGACAGGGCTGGCTAATGCCAAATATAGCCCTCAGCCCTGCTTCCTAAAATAAAAATTTTAAGAAAAATGAATAAAAAGAACTCATGCTCATGCAAGAACAAAGATTCAAAACTTATATAAATGTTATTAAAAAAGAAAGAAGAACATTATCCAGGAGATAAGATGAAAAAAAGAAATGCTAAAGAGGAAAAAAAGGAGAAAAGGAAAAGTAAAAGTCTAAAGAGAAAAGAGGGAGGGAAGCATAAATTTTTTTTGCCAAAGATAACAATATAACATAATACACTATTTAATGTATACTCACGTTAATCATACATTAGCTCTACTTTCTATGAATACAAAAACTGCACATTCCAACTAAATACCATGTAACAATTTTGGATCATTTCCTATAACTTAATGGCTCCAAAAGAGATGTTATACAACTAAAGAAATTACCATCTTATGGTTTTATGTACTAGCCATTTTCTTCAATATACGGAGTAAGGTACTAAAGCCCCTCCTTCTCTATACCACAAAGAAACTAGACAAACCACCCAAAAGCCATCAATAGGTAGTCAAAGAGTAGGACACTCTAGGCGTGATAACAAGCCCTCTTACTTGCAAGCTACTTAAGCTCGGTTTAGAGAATTCTTGACTTGAGCATAGCTATGCTTAATTTATACAACTCATAATATAAACAGGCTTAAATTTATAATACTCCGTACTATTTTATCTATATTTATAAACTTCAAATTGTAATTTGCGTACTAACAAATTGAACATTACTAATGAGGATCTCAACAAAATATAGGTAAGCTGCCTAGGGTTAACTATTAAAAACACTGTATAATTCTTTAAAAGAATATTTATTTCGTCACAATCTTCTAACTCGAGCTAATTTTTTACATAGGTTGAGCTTGACAATTAGTGCTCAAAACAAAATTAAGGCTCGGCTTAAATTTGAATGAAATTGCAATGATCAGTATTGATTAACTCCAGCTTCAGCTTGTTATCACCCCAAACATGCCCAAATAAGGCAAAGAGCATTCCTTGCTAACCATTATATTCGCAGGATAGGCAAAAAAAGTAATTAGATAAAATAGCACCAAAAATGGTAACAGAGAATACAAGTTAAACAAATGGGCTGTCCCAAATAAAGGTAAGAAAGAACTCTATGCCAAATATATTTACCAAGTGAGAACATTTTTAGACATTTTGCATTTATCAAATCCTGATAATTGATTATGTACAGCTTATGCTGTCTTGATTACATGAATGAATTGGAAAGCCAGGTATAACTAGTGTTAGACACACATATTCCATGAAAATTTCAAAGCTTTTAGTCCAAAACGAAGTGTCAAATGTACATACCCAATTACACATTTGACACGGCTCTGAACACTAACACATTCTTGAATCTTGATACAGCACTGTGTACATAACCATTGACTTGATTGCTTGGTGAAAGAACTATTTACGGAAAATGCCAGTGGGATCTGCATTCTTTAGGATCCAGGGGTGCTCCATTATCTTCTGAAGAGAGAGCCTCTTTGATGTGTCTTTTACCAGAAGCTGCAAGATGTCAATATTACATGCTCAGAAACTCCAAAATAGATTTTAAGAGGTCCATTGATTTCCAAGGAACATTCTATGAAGCGTATACTTACTCGGGTAATAAGATCCTTGGCTTCTGACGAAACTTGGGGTGTGTCTGGAAATTTCAAATCAATCTTCATAATCCTACAAAGGAAAAAGACTTGAGTTAAGTAGCAGGCTGCAAGGCTCTCAACCTATATACTCTTTTTTTAGAAGGAAAAAGAAAACATTTATGCATTCTTCTTACCTCCGGAAAGTATCGCGTTGGCTCTCAGCCTCAAATGGAGGTACCCCATACAAGAATTCATAACAAAGGACACCCAGTGTCCAGTTGTCAACTGCATAATCATGGGCCTTGTTTTCCACCATTTCTGGTGCCAGATAGTCAAGAGTTCCACACATGGTGTGCCTCTTGTTTCTTGATTGTACAGACCAACCGAAATCTGCAATCTTCAGACGACCCTGAAAAGAAATAGAATTCAACAATATTCATCTTCATCCATAAAATACATTGCTTAGCTAATAGCAGGCTACACACAGCAAAAAACTATCTACAGATGTTTGTAAGTTGTAACAGATTGCGGCGACTGATTAATGAAGGCAGTCTCTACTCTCTACACATTTTTTGTAACATCCTTATAGAAATGTGCTACTGATGAGAGTAAAGCTAAAGCAATGAAAACTGTTTTTTGAGACCGAGCAATGTGTGTTCAGATACTTCTACCGGTTCAATGATTTACAATGAATCATAAACTCAATCACAAAAGAAAAATACCTCATGAATTAGTACATCAAACAATAAAGTACTCTATGATGCATACATTAGTACAATAGTATAGTCCATTCCCAGTAAAGCCACAATGAAAGCAAAGCAAGTTACTCAGAAGTCATAAAAGTACCTCATGATCAAGTAACAAATTCTCTGGTTTGATGTCCCTGTGGATGACATTCTTGTCATGACAATACGCCAATGCTTCCGTTAGACTTGCAATGTACTGTCTCAAAGAAACAATCAAAGTAAATCCCCTAAAATCAATAAAGAAGCAACCTAAGCTCATCCAAACTGAAAATTAAAATTCAATTAAGGCGAAAAATAACAGAAATCCCAAACATCATCATTGTATTTTTTTCATTCACCAAATCAGAATTTTCTTTATTAACCAATGAACAAATAATACAAAAATTCCATATTATTGAAGCTTAGACACTCCCTTAAGGATCCAATATCTAAACCCTCATTCGCAATCATACTATTTAGGCCATGTTCTCTTCACCTTAAAAAAATAATATTAAGTAAAAATAAGTTCAGTTCAGTAAAATTAATTTCACTTCAGTAAAAATAAGTTCAGTTCAGTAAAATTCAGTTTTCTTAAAGAAGAATTATAATAGAAAATTAATAAAAATAATTTAAGTTCAGTAAAAATAATTTAAGTTCAGTAAAATTAATTTCAGTTCAGTAAAATTAAGTTCAGTTCAGTAAAAATAAGTTCAGTTCAGTAAAAATAATTTCAGTTCAGCAAAATTAAGATGAATCAAACAGGGCCTTAATGTCTCTTAATTTGTGATTCCACCAATATACACTAGCCAATCTCAAAAATAGAACACTAAATGAGAAACTAAATCATCATTTCGACAGCAAAAACTCATAATTATTCATAAACTCAACAGAGTTAAACATTAACATTCTCACAAAATTCAGAAAATCTAAATCGAATTTTGAAATTAGAACACTGAATGAGCAACTATATCATCATTTCGACAGCAAAAACTCAAAACTCAACATAAACTCAACAGAATTAAACATCAAAATTCTCACACAATTCAGAAAAAACTAAACAAAATATCGAAATTATACCGTGGCGGCTTGCTCCTCAGGAAGATGACCTGATTTCTGGAGTTCCTTATAAAGTTCACCCATCAAAGCATACTCAAGAATCAAAACAATCCTCTCTTCATCATGAAACCACCCGAAAAGCCTCAGAACATTCGGGTGGCGTAAACTCATTTGAATCTCCATCTCTCTCCTCAATTGATGGTGTAGTTTATACTTCTCAATTTGCTCCTTAAATATCACCTTCAACGCCACTATATACTTACTCTGCTCCAACAAAATCGAAAATCGAAAACAAATTCAGTACAATTGAATAAATAAACAATTACTACAGCAAAAAATTGGGGGAAAAACCTTGACTTCGCGAGCAAGGTAGACTCTGCCGAATTTGCCCTTTCCCAAGGGTTTTCCGATTTCGAAATCAGCCATTGACCAATTTCGCTTGATGCTAGGGTTTTGCGGTTGCTGCTGCTTGGTAGGATTTTGAATTGGTTGAGGTTTATTGGGGCGTTGAATGGGTTTTTGAGGAGGTTTAGGGATTTTGGGCGCCATTGATGATGGTTGAGTGAGGAGAGAGATTGAAGGAGCAGTGAGAAACTGGAGAAAGGGGAAGAAAGGAGGGAAAGAGCCTGTGGATTGTGATTTGAATTTGTGAGGGTATTATTGGAAGGCTCAAATTGAATTAGTTTCTTTTTGAAGCTATTTAATGCATGTATGTTGTGAAATAAAGTTTCATCTTAATTTAGGGGAGAGTACTCCTTATGTTCTACGACTACAAAATTCTTTTTCGTAATGTAAATACTCATACGGAGTATTAAGGAAAAATCGAGGGTGACTGTTAGGGATAGCTCAAGTGGGTAGAGATTTTCTCCCGCTTTCAGTAGATATTGTAATCAATTCTCACCCCGCCCTGTCTAAACACCCAAAAAAAAAAAATACTCCGTATTATGAAAAATACAATAAACAAAGTAATGTAAGTTGGTACATGTGAGCATTATTCATCAAATGATTTAAAAAAAGTAACAAGAATTTTATGTAACAAAAGGAAAAAATTAAACTCTGAATTTTAAACACAATCGATGAAAAAGTTAAATTGGGTTGCAATTTATAATTTACAAGAACTTTTGAGCAGCGATTTGCAATTTTTTTTTTTTAAAATAGCTGCAATTTACTAAATACAAACTTTAAATGACTGCAATTGACAAATTTTCCCAACAAATCTAAAATCAAAGAACCAAAATTTCTTAGCTTTACCTCGACAAATTATGAGGCAAAATGGCTAAGATCTCAATATGTTTTATTTTGTGGCATTACCCATGTCTTATGTCACAAGGTTGATGATTTCTGCACCGTATTAGAGTCTACAAATAGCATCCCAAAATTTATCAAATGTATGCTTGTTTATGATCTCAAATTGACAGATATCTTCACAGTTGAGGCGACTATAGATAATTTCCCATTATAATTTAAGCGTTCAATAACACAGCGCAACATAGAGAGCAGGAAGTTGCTATATACAGGCAAAATCCAGGACAAAGACTGCCAATGATCTACAGGTTCCATTGCGTGGAGAGCTGCTCCCTACAAGGCTGCCTGAATTTCAAGATCGATAAGTACAGAAGGAGAGAAAAGTTTTCTACTGTATATACATAACAAGAAACAATCAGCAAAAGAGCTGCTGTTTTACAAGGTAAAAAGACATCTACAGAGGCTTCTCAAAGTTTGCCGTTTGTGAGGTTGGCATCCTTTGCTCCAAGATCACCACCAGCATCAATTTCCATGCTCACTGAATCTACAAGTTTCTGCACATAGCAAAGGACATGTATAGTAAGAGCATTGCATGGATCCGGGAAAAGTCTAGTCTATAACAACGCATCTCCTAAAAGGCTCTTCACTGCTACTTGATTAAACATCAAAGTATTAAACCACAGTAAATTATTTTTCTTGCATCCAAATATCATACAATCCATATTGAGCTTCCCCTATGATCAGAGCAATGCTGAATCCAGATCACACGATGCTACAATGTCTCATTTCTAATAGATTGCAGGTTCCCATACCCCTAAAAGCTACTCCATAACAAAATCATTATGAAACATAAGGTCAGCACTTGTTTGTGATTCACACAGAAGACCAGAAAAAATTTATCTACTGACAATATTTCAAGTTCATACAAAATCCACATGTATCTCCATAACTATGCTCCCAATACACAGCGTATGAGATTAAGAACACAAGTGACAGAGAATTCGACAGATAAGCTTTGATTTGTTGCATGAGGAGGGAGGTGCACTGGTGCAGCTCATTTGGATAAAGGAAAGAACCACAGAATGTTATGCTACATGCCTACATGACTCAAAACTGAATAAAAATTCAAGCAAAAACAGAAATTATATTCAGAGTATGCTTCCTCATGAAGTGAGCACATGCTACACAACTCTCTATTAGTCAGATAATTAGGTATGCTAGTACAAAATAGGTATGAAAAAATTATCATAATACTGTGTCTTAGTAATGTGGCAAAAGACTAGGGAAATTGACCTGCAGTTTCTCTTCGGCACTTTTCAGTTTTACGCCACACTCCTTTACTTGCTGGAAACCTTTATGTAACTGCAAGTAATCCACGATTCCATGGCACAATAAGTAAACCTTTTGACTTCAAATGCCCAATTCAAAACTTACGGTGTGTTTGGATAGAAGGAAATGGAAGGAAAAGACGGGGAGGGAAATGGAGAGATGTGATATCTTTCATTTGGATGACAAATGAGGAAGGAAGGGAATTTGAGGGGAGAGAAATGGAGGGATTAAATTGTAGGAAAATGATCCCTCCAACGATGGAGAGATTTAGAAGGAAAACTCACCATTCTTCTCGTCCCTCCCTTTCCCTCCCCTCCTCTTCTCCTCCCTCCCCTTCTTTTCCTTCCTCTAATGTTATCCAAACACACTGTTAATGTGTGTTATCCATCCAGGCAAATACCTTAGCCAACTGCATTTGACGCACTGAGGATTGTTTTTTTGCAGAGGACAACAAATCTTCCAATTTCTGTTATCACCATCAAGTTACAGGTTACTACAACAAAAATAAACTACCTGTGCTAAGCAACAGAAAGAGAGAATTTTAGCACCTGGGATCTTTTCTCCAAATCAGCTATGAGTTGTTTCTTCTCTTCTAAACTCTGCTCCATGTCAGATTTCTGATAAAGTTATAGATTAGTCTCTTGATAGTTTTGACGTTAATATTCATTGAAAATATGTAAAGAAACGGCATGATACAGACTAGAAATGAAGTAATTAATTAGCAATGCAAAAGGTTTTTGGAATTGTGATCCGCGTGATTTAATTATTTGCGTTGATTGATAAATGGAATGAGCATCTTTGACAAGTTAAATGCTGAGGCTAAATAGCAATATATACTACAGGGATTACTACACACTGCCATACTGGTAATAAGTCTATCTAAGAGTAGGAGGATGAACAAGAGCTCAATTCGAAAAAAATAATCTGCAGGAAGCAGTCAATGTGAAACTTAAGACTAAAGATCACCCCATGCATTTTCAAAATATAAACATCTGCTAGGTACACATCAACTATCAAGGGCCATTAGCTTTTTCCCAAGGTTTTGATGAATAGAATTTCATTAGACCAAACTGCTGTTAAAGCATCAAAATTCTCTATTTCTTGCTCTTTTTTTTTTTGGAAAAATTGAGTTTATAAATCCCAACTTTGGGCGGTTTACTATGAAAAATCTCAACTATGTATTATCCCTAAAAAATCCCAACTTTGATACCCATATTCTTTTAAAGATCCCAGATGACCGATTACCCGAAGAGAAGGTTAACTCATTTTTTCTAAAAAAAAATTACCACTTGTCAGAATTTTAGTGGTCCAAAAAATAAAATTAATTGTTTTTTTAAAAAAATATGATTTATTCAAAAATAAATAAATAAAAAACAACCCACCCCCCAGCTCCCACCCCCATCCCGAAAAACACCTCACCCCCACCCCCCCACCCTGTCGGGAAATCGCCCCCCATCCCCGAAAACCCTCCCCGCCGCCGGAAAACGGCCCCCACCCTTCCCCCACCCCCGATAATCCCTCCCTGTCGCCGGAATCCGGCGAAAAACCCTCCCCCCACCCTCACGAAACCCTCCCACCCTAAACCATAAAACCCCCTCCCAAAACCCCCACCCTCGAAATCGCCCCCCCTGCCTTCCCCCACCCCTGAAATCGACCCACGGTTGGGGAAGGGGAAGGGGGCATTTTCGAAGGTAGGGTTTAGGGGAGGGTGTTTTCCGGGTTAGGGGGGTTAGTGGGTGGGTTTTGCGAGGGTGGGAGGAGCGACAGGGGTGGGTTTCGAGGGTGGGAGAGGGTTGGTCGTCGAATTCCGGCGACGGGGAGGAGTTGTCGGGGTGGGGGCGATAATCCGGCGGGCTTGGGGTGCGGGTAGGGTGTTTTTCGGGATGTGTATAGTAACCTAAAGTAACAGGTGACCTATTGGGATCTTTAAAAGAAAATGGGTATCAAAGTTAGGATTTTTGAGGGACAATGCATAGTTGGGATTTTTCATGGCAAATCGCCCAAAGTTGGGATTTATACACTCAATTTCTCCTTTTTTTTTTCTTTTTTTTCTTCATTAGAAATTCTTAGCACAGCTGTCAAGACCATAATGCATATGAACAACAATTGGAACTCAATTGAGCAAAATATAAAGGTTGTCATGGCCACTCTTCCACAGAAAAGTACTAAAATATGGAGTCTAATGAATTATATATAGACTGGAAGATGACCTGACATACTGTGGACAGTCACTAGCACAAAGTTTTGGACTCAGAAAGGTCCAAAATATGCTGACAACTAGTCCAACAAACTCTAAACTTGATGGATTTTGTGATGTACACAAGTTATTAGCATTTATCAAAGAGCTTAAAGTTATTTCCGGGTAATTAGCAACTTAGCAGAAATGATTGTCTGAACATACGAGAAATGTGATAGGCAGAAAGTAAACAAAAAGCAGATCTGCAGGTTCAAGAAAAGCTGAAACTCTTTTGATACAGATTCTCCCTCTATATGTTTAACCTTATTAGGCCAATAATGATCTTGTTTCCCAAATACCCTCCCACGTCCCACCCCAATTAAACGTAATTGACTTAATGACCTACAAGTAAATTATGCCATATGATAACTCCACACTCACCCCCCACCTCTGTCTCTCTCTCAGAACAAATAGGAGACATTATGGGAATTCCCATAATTTTATCACTTGATTTCTTCACAGGCCAAGCACTCTATACGAAAGAATTTGAGACTTTTAGCAGTCAGCTTATACCTTCTAACACTGCTAGTGCTCAATGCTTCAAATGCAAATAAGAGTGATGAGTAATCCTAAGCACTAGCAACATAAAAATTAAAAGGTGTTACGTCGTATTGATGCTGTTGCCTTGTTGGCAAAGTCACAAGAGTCTAGTCTGAGCACAGACCTCCTTCTGAAGTTCTTCTCGTCTTTTAATCAACATATCCAGCTGCTCTTCCATCTAATTTTAGAGAAGAGAGAAGCACAATGTTGATACGATGACATCTTCTAGCCAAATTTAATTAATTGTATTCAGGAATAGTCTACCCTAAAGAAATAAGCTCACCTGGTACTGATAATCACTTGATTCTGATGACAAATCTCTACTATGTTGGTCATGACTACTGGCGCTGTTTAGCAGGGGAGAAAAAAAAATGTGAAGAACAGAGAGATATTGTCAACAAAGGCTTTTTTATTCTTTCACAGCATCTGGGATGAAGGATTACAACATATAGAGCACAGCATATAAACATCACAAACAAATTTAACCACATACTAAGGCCCTGTTTGTTTGAGTATAGGTATTTGTTACTATAAATTACTCCCTTCGTATTTTATTACTTACTCAACTTTCCTTTTGCGGCCGTATTTTATTACTTACTCCACTTTCCTTTTGAGACCGTATTTTATTACTTGCTCCATTTTATTTTTTTTTTGGAAACTTTTAACAATATTTTACTATTTCCCTCTCCATTAGTAGTCTCCTCATATCATATTTTAATATTTTTCATATTTTGTGTCCTCTTTCACTTATGCTTTTTTAGATTTTTTTTTATCCTTCAACCAACCCCACTTCCATCATATTTTATTACTTTCTACTATTTCTCCTAAAACTCCATGCATGGAGAAATGGAGCAAGTAAAAAAATACGCAGGGAGTATAAATCACCCAAACTTTACTTGACGTTAGGTTGATGGAGAAAGCGCGCTAAGGTAATAAGGATCCTTCAGAGCCTTTTAGCAGTATGGTGCACTTAACAGAAAATTAAAACTTGCAACTCAGTG